GGGCAGGGACGCCTTCCACTAGAGCAGGTTGCTCTAAGCCCCTGTGTCCAACCTGCCCTTGAACACTGCCAGGGATGGGGCAGCCACAGCTTCTCTGGGCACCCTGTGCCAGCGCCTCAGCACCCTCACAGGGAAGAACTTCTTCTCTATAATAATTTCTCCCGTGGTAGAGCCCGGCACTGGGGGGCACCAGGATCCCCTGCCCCAGTGCCCAGGGACACAGTCACAGATGTCCTTTAATGGGTTTAGTTGGTTTCTTGCACTGGGAGGAGATGCTCGTGCAAAGCTGCTCCCTTCCGCCCCTGGATACCTACATCCGTTTCTCTCTGGAAATGCTTTAAACAGTGTCCTGAGCCTGGGCAGCCTCTGGAGCCCTCCCAGAGCAGCACTGAAAGGACAAAGCACTTTGCAGCCGGGCAGACAAAGCCTGGGCATCTCTGCAAGTGGAATTTGCTACAGGGCAAGATTCAGAGGGAAGAAAAAAAGAAAGAAACCAAACAAGCCCAGAGAGACTAATGGCCGGGGCTGAGGGAAGGACAGAGTCTCCTGTCGTCTTGTGTCCCTTTTGATGAGTAAAGGTAGGAATTTTTGACAGAACATGTGCAGAACTGGCACGGGGAACACTGGGGCTGGGGGCTTTTGGTGCAAGGCGTTCCCTGCCAGCTGCGGCCATGCAGGAGCCACCAGCATGGAAAGTGTCTCCGAAGGCGGGGAAAGATCACACCAAATGCCAGGAGCTCTCAGTTCCCCCTGACACAGACCTGGGTGCAGCAGCCCATGCTATGGGGAATGCTGCAGAGATACAGCTTTGCTGCTGGACCACAAGTGCTGCCAGTGTCCTGCGGGATGGGTGTCCGTGTCCCGCTGTGTCCCATATATTGCTGTCTTCCTCTGGGTGTGCCTTTTGCTTTCCCACCCTGCTCACAGTCCCCGCTGCTTCCAGCAAGGAGCGGAGGGGCACGTCCAGGGTTTCTGCCTGCGGGTGCTAACCTGGCCCTGCAACGCCAAAGCACATTTAGGGTGGGATGTGGGGCAGCTCCTGCCTTGCCCCACTGCCCTCACCCGATGCCGTGTGGGGCTGCTGCTGCCAAGCACAAGTGTACCCAGCTCTGCGGCAAGGGTTGGTACCCCACAGACCAGGATGGGACACGTGTGAGCAGCACTCCAAGAGGGACGGGCTGTGAAACCAGCCCAGCACCAGCTTTCACTGGCCTCCCAGGCCGTGTGTCCCCAGCAGCAGGTTTCCCTGGGGCCGAGCGGGTCGCTCCCAGCAGACATGTGGTGGGTAATCACCCAGTAAGAAATGCTTGTCTTTCCTGGCTGCCTGACAAAGACCAAGGCCTTTCATGCTAGAAGATTCCAGCTTGGAAATAACCACTTGTAATGGTTTTAATTACCCTTGTGATGTAGTCATTTCGAGGAGAACCGGGAGTGCTGCGGAGCCAATGCTGTTATTACGCTATCACTTTCCAGCAGCCTTTCAGCACGGAGCCAGCAATTTCATCCCAGGAGAAGCCAGGAAAGGTGGTTATTATGTGCATCACCACCAGCAGCTGGGTCCCTCCCATCCCTGCCACAGGGAGCTGCAGCCTGCCTCGACCTCTACCACCCAAAATGTTGTGAATGAGGAGCTGCCAAACCCGGCCTCCCTGCTCCAGCTTGCACTGAGCCCCGTTCAACTGTGGTCTGAGCAAGGAGCAGCAGGGTTTTGGTTGGGGTGGGAAACTGCCAGGTTCACTTCTGGAGCTTTCTACGGTGTTTTCCACAGTCTGGGTTGTTCCCAGCCACATCCCACAGGACGGCAACAAGTCAAGCAAAATGTGCTGCGAGTGTCTCTGTTTACTGGGAATAACAACAGCCTTGGCCTCCCTTATCCGCAGGTGGTGCCACTTAATTAGCATTGTTAAAGCCCATGGATGACCCAGGGCACAGCATCTCTGCAGGGTGCTGTTGCTGTTCATTACCATTATTAATAGCAGCTTGTCCCCAGCAGTCCCGGTGCCGGCTGTCGGGGCACACAGGCTCACTGCACAGGTTTGAGGTGTGCTCCTGTTCGCCATGGCCATCCCTGGTTCAGGCTCATCCCAGGGACTGCTCAGGCATAGAGCTGCCCAGACAGTGGGAGTTGCAAAAGGCGAGCCCAAAGCAAGAGTTCTTTCCTGTCCTCCCCGTTCTGGTTCACATTCCTTAATAAAGGAGAGAAGAGGTGAGAAAGAACCTGACTTCCAAGAGACCTAAGGGGCACAGGGTGTGCAATCGTCCCGTCCCACACACTGAACCCAACAGCACTTATTGAATAAGATTTTGCTGCAGCATGATCAGGAAAAGCCCAACAGCTCCTCCCAGGGTGAAGGCAGGAGCTAAAACTTCTCCCCTTTCTCAACTGAAATCCCCCCACCGCTGCTGTCCCCGTTGCCTAACCCACTACTTCCATTCTGCTTCTTTGCCAGCAAAAGTCCTGTGGGAAAGGGCTGTTCAACCTCACCTGCAGCCACCTCAACCTCACGGAGAAGGAGTACTTTGGGCTGGAGTTTCGCAGCCAGGCTGGGAACCAGGTGAGTGCAGCTCGCAGTGATGCTGCTCCATGCTGCATCCTCCTGCACGGCTGGGCTGTGCTAACACCTCCCTGAAACACCCAATGGAAGATTTCAATGAAAAGTGATGCCAGAAACCCTCTAAAATGGAACTTATGAGGGGAGCCAAAAGCTCGTTGGCAAAGCCCTGGTGGTAGCCATGGTCCATGGGGTTTATCCACAGCTGCTCCTGCAGGACAGCTCACTGCAGCCCCAGAGCTGGCCAAGGTTTCTGTACTGCACTCCAGCATGCTGCTGCTTTTATTCCTTTTCTCTTGTGCTGTTTATTCACCCAGTTCTTCATCGCCTTATTATTCCAGGTCTGGTTGGAAGCACTAAAGCCCATAACAAAGCAAGTCAAAAGTAAGTATTTAAAGAAGAATATTATTCTAAGCGAGTGCCAGTGACAGACTAATGCAGACACATTGGTGCAGTGTTATTGCCTGGGGACAGGGCCTCCGGTCCCAGCATTTACCTGAGCTCATTTGGAAGCGTGAGGCTGGGCAGGGCTGTTTGCAAAGACACCACACAGTCCAAATAAAACCCTGTAGAACTTACCACTGCCTTTGCAGTCTGGTACCAGCACCATTTAGGCTCAAGCTGTTCATAACCTGACAGCTTGGTGGAGGAGCAGAGGTGGCTGCGTGCGTGTTCGCACCCCTGCAATGAACCAAAACAGGTTTTCCCCTAATACATGATGACCAGGACGTGGCTGAGAGCATGAGGCCACTGCCCCAGTGTTTGCCATGGGGCATCCCTCCTGGCAGGGGTCTTGGCAATGTAGAGAATCACTGGGGCCACAATTGCTGGAATTGGAGTATTGGGAATCACAATACTCTTTGGTATTGTTGAAGTATCCGGTGCCTTGTTCACCTTCACTGGTAACACTGGGGATTTGGACAGGCTGGTTGCTGGGGGCAGGCTGGAGTTCCTGCTGTTCAGGGTCCAGAGTAATTTACTCTGTAAGGAGCATGTGTGAAGAGAGTTGTAAATGTTCTCCATAGGCATGTAAAAGAAAACTTATGAAGGTGTTGTGTTTTAAGATCCTAAGGAGGTTCTTTTCAAATTTATGGTGAAATTTTTCCCAGTGGACCCCGGCCATCTGAGAGAAGAGCTGACCAGGTACGTGCTTGTTCTGTCACTTTCTTACCACCCAGTCCTGTATATCTGCAATTGCAAAGCACACATTTAATTCCTTACCTTCATCCACCCGAACCTACCTGTGAGCAGCCCTTATCCCAAGCAGCAAAGTTCTGTGCTTCACAAAACAAACCCCCAGAATCTTTTCTTGATCCTCTGTTTCTAAACAAAACCCACTTGAGGGATCAGATCTCTGAAGAGGCTGCAATGTGTTTCCTGCCAAAGCCTTTAGCAGCTGGGCACCAGGTCTGACTGCACTCAGTCTGGCTCCTGCCTCAAGCTGTGTTCTGAAAGAAGTAACTTTAATTTTACTGTTTAAAATGACATTGTTAGCACCTATGTTTATAGAAACAGGAACTAAGAATAAGACAAAGGCAGCGCTTCTGCAGAACATTAGCCCAGGGTGATGCAAATGCCCTCCTAAACATAAAGAAATGTTAACTCTGAAACCTACTAACTTCAATGGCAAGGGTGTGCTGGTTGTGGTGGTGCCCTGCTGCAGCCTTCTCCAGGGGCTCTGTGCTCCTCCATTAGCCCCAGAGACCTGCATCCCTTGGGCTGAAACATGGGCGAGGGCAGCGGGAGGCGTGGGGCTGGCAGCAGAGCCCTCACTGCTCGGCCCAGTGCCCGCACCAGTGCTGAGCCCGGCTCCCGCCCAGGGCACGCTCCTGTCCCCTCCACAGGTACCTCTTCACCCTCCAGATCAAGAAGGACCTGGCACAGGGGCGGCTGCCCTGCAGTGACAAGAGCGCGGCGCTGCTCGTGTCCCACCTGCTGCAGTGTAAGGGCAGGGGATGGTGCCCCTTCCCCAGGGACAGGGTGCTCAGGGGCGCTTTGGCTGTGTGGCCATAGGTCCCCCTGCAGAGACCACTCACAGCCTAACCCACACTCTTCCCATGTCCCCTGCAGCAGAGCTGGGTGACTTCCACGAGGAGACAGACCAGGAGCATCTGGCATCCCACAGGTACCTGCCCAACCAGGAGTACCTGGACCACAAAATTATGCACTACCACCGGAGACACAGGTAAGGGCTGCTCCGACCACGGCCGCCCGCTCGGAGCATCCGCTGGGCGCCTGTTGTTGGGGCTGTTCCCATTAGCAGCAGTGGGTGGGATGCCCCTGTGCGCACATCCAAAATGGCAGCTTTTCAGCCCGTTTTAGCAGCTGCCTTCTCACCTTTGTTGTTTCCTGGCACATCTATGCCTGCAGAGGGAAGACGCCGGCAGAGTCGGAAGCTCAGCTGCTGGACGTGGCCAGGAAGCTGGGGATGTAACGGGTATGTGCGC